GGGCTTGGGATAGGTTACGGTGGCGCTGGGATGGGGCTGCAGCAACCCCAAATTTTGCTGTAGCCCTCCCATAGCCCCCTCCCAGGACCTACACCACCTGCCCCGAGTGCAGCACAGCCCCCTCCCCAGCCCGTAGCTGCAGCCTGCCTGGCTTGCCCTGTGCAGATCTGAGGGCACACACCCCTCCAACCATACCCTCCTGGATGAGCAGCGGTGCACAGCAGCAGAAGCCACCCCCTCACCCTGGCTGGGCAGCACCTAACCCTAGCCCCACTCCCTCTCTCATCCCAGGGGGCACTGCCCTGCCCTGCCCACCCCACCATTTCCCTCCCCCTTTCACCACAACAGACTTAGCAGCTGCACGGAGCTCTCCATGTTGCCAAGCTATGCTCCTTGCTGCCTGTGCGCTGCAGCTGTACACACCCATGGGTATTTATGTGCCACATTAGGCCAATTTCTGATATAGCCAATTTTCTTTATATCAGTGCCAATCCAATATCAGACCAATGTATTGGCATACCTCTATAGATCTTCATGTGATGGCCTTCCACCAACTCCATTTAGTGGAAAGGTTGCAACCTTCTTTCAGGTTCTGATTTGGCCACCATCATTCAATACCTTTCTAACCTCAAGTCTAGACAATTGCAACGTGCTGTACAGGGGCTGCCCTTAAAAACCATCTGGAAGCTGCAGCTGGTGCATAAAATGGCAGGAGCACAACTCCAATCCTTCAGCATCTGCACTAGCTCCCAAGAGCTTTCCAGTGCTGGTTTTGACCTATAAGGCCTAAACAGTTTAGGTCTTACATTCTTAAACAGACAGTGTTTTCCTTTGCATCTTATCACAACCCCTAAGTTCAGCCAACAGCAACTTCCTGCAAGTAACATCAGCAGGGATCCTGGTTTTCCCTGATAAATTGCCAATTCTTTGATAACCCCCACCCCAAACCTGTGATTAAAATGAAAAGGCCCCTCACTTCCCACCCACCCCAGTCCTGCTGGTGCACCTCACTCCCCCCCTGCCCTACAGCCCCCTGACCCTGCTGGTGCCCCTCACCTACCACCCACAGCCTCCTGCACCTTTTACTCCATTTTTCCATGGGAGATGGAAAACCCAAATCCCTGACCATCAGTATGTCAAAGTTTCCTTGGCAAATACGTGTGGGTGCTTAATCTTGGCAGTTGCTTTCCCAGCTCCAGAATTCCCTCCCTCTTGAAGCCCACCAGAGCCCAAGCCTGGATATCCTCCAGGAAAGAACTTTCTTTGGGTGGGCTTTTAGAAAGTAAAACTAGGCCTAGACGCTGCTTAGTGCGCCTTGTTCTTACGCTATTCTAGTTTCATTTTTAAAGTTGTTTTGTTACTCTCCTGTTTTATAAATTATTCTGTTCTCTTACTGTAAACGTCCCAAAGCCTTTGTTGGGAAGTGTGGCATTAAAAAAAAAAAAATTGCATAAAAATATTTCCAGCCTGAG